AAAAAAAAAAAAAAAACTGGCTAGACTCAGCAACTAATATAATAGATTTAGAAAAGCAGAAAGAAAAAAGGTACAGAAAAAAGCCAAAAAATAATTAGGTGAAGAAAATTTATGAATAAAATATTAGCAAAAATGAAAAGCTCTTTTTTATTTGGTTCCTACTGTAATTTTCATTGCACTTCTCTATTTGTTTCTATTTGAAGAACAAACCAGACCAAAAATTCTGCAATCAATGAAAGATAAAAACAAACAATAAATGCTAAGTGAAAAAAAAAACAAAACAAAACAAAGTTTTGCCTAATTTACTGACATCATCAATTCCTTGTGTTCCTATGTGACTATCATCTCACTAACTCCTCCACTTTTTCTTTCCGTTCATTTGAATGCCAGATGTGTATTATATAAGTAGGAATAATAAAAATAACAATAATAAGAATAAATAAAAATTATAACAAATAATAATGACAATGAAGAAAAAGACGAGTCAAAAAGATTTTGTTAAACAAAGAGACGAAAAAGAAATAGAAAAGAAAAAAGAAGATTAAAAAAAAATAATAATAAAATTAGAGTAAATGTAAAAAGGTGTCAGCTGCAAAACATCAAGTCAGAGCAGCGGAACTAAAAAAGAAAATTCCAGTAATCTGTTACGAGACACCGTGGCTGCTAAGGAGAGAGAAAAGAGTAAAGCGAGAATTGAATGTGGTAAAACAGAGGAGACAGTAAAGCAATGAAAGAAAAAAGAAAAAAAGTAAAATAAGCAGAGTACGTGATTCGCAATTTGATTTCAGTGGTTCAGCAGCGTCACTACACAGTCGACACCCGGTGCCGTTCTTCGAGCTGTAAAGCGACGACGACGACGACAACAACAACAACAACCACAACAACAACGACGTTGCCACGTGCACATTCAATTCAGGAAACATGTGACTGGGCACGTGAATTTCACATGGCCACAGCACTGCACACGAAGCTGCTGATAGCCAACCAACCCCAGCTGCATCACCACTATCTCTCCCATTCGTTTTTGTTCAAACTAAATCAGCTTTTTTTTTTTTAACTGTTCTTGCTTTTGCTGATATTCTTCTCGTTGCTGTTTTTCGAAAAGCCCAAAATACAAAATGCGAAGTACAGAAATGGAAAATACCCAACCATTTTTAGGTATAGACTGCACATACCGAGATGCAACGACTAGTAGAACAATGAACAAACATGGGATAAGCCAAAAATAGAGAAGCAAACTTTACCTGCAGTAATGTACCTAATAAGCCGCACCCTGCACCACCTAACAACTATCCGTGGTTTTTTTTTTCTTTTTTTCTTCAACTCTCGACAAAAGACAACAAGAACGACAAAAGATGCATGTATAAATAAATACATGTGCACATACGTCTTAGACTTCTTTAAGAATAAAAATAAGAACAAAACCCCCAGTTGAGTGAATTCTGCATTTTTCTATCCTAAAGAACCTTTCCCCCCCCCACTCCCGCTGAAAAAATATATTATGAAGAGTTGAAGAAATTTAAGGCCTAAAAATAAATCGAAGAACTACGCTTCTCCTCCTAGCACCACTTTTTTTCGTCATTGCTGTTGCTGATACTGCCCGAACATTCAAGCAATTAACTGACCGTGTTTCAGAAGAAATAACCTAGAAATTCCCTTATTTCTGTTTTCCACCAATTGTTTCGGCGCTTGCAAAAAATGCATTCATTAGATCATCATTCATTCGTTTATTTATTCACCCAATCGGTCATTAAAACCATCTCTAACAGTAGCTTATAGCTCCAATCTTGAAAAACTATTCATAAATCTTTCAAAACACTAATGTGAGCCGAAAAAAAAAAGTGGGAATTTCAATCCTGTCTACAGCATAGCATCATCATATTTGTTTTCTCATTTGTACGACGGGTATTAAATGAACGAATGAATAAATAGTGGTGAAAAACTAATTAACTTTAAAGATCTGTAATAGGGTACCGTAACCAGCAAAACAGAAAAAAATTTTTTTTGTCAAAAATCAACGAACCTGAAACATAAAAGAACGTAGTTTTTTGACATTTTTTAAACCAAACCCCATCGCCGCCGACAATAACAATCACCGCCATCAGCTGACGCTACTTGAACAGACCAAAACAAAAGCAGAAGATCAAAAAGAAAGCAACCCTAAACAAAGATGACTACACCAAAAAAAACTGACGACATCAGTCAGGTTTGTTTGTTTGGCATCAAAAGATGCCTCACTATTCAAAACATTCTCTCTCCTCCTCTCCTTTACCTCTTCCAGCCCTCTTTCTTTTTTTTCTGACAAAGAAAAAAGAAGCCGACCAAATACGACTAACAACTGAGGCATCCACACAAGCATATATACATACATGTCTGAATATGGTAAATAAACTAGAACAAAAATATGGTTTAGCTGAAGAAAAATTTAACTTAAATTTCATCCATGCTTTCTAAAGCCCCTCCTTCCTTTAAGGTCACATGGAAGTTTGTGCTGTTCAGTGCTTTCAAAGTGAGTTTTGGCCTATCGTAAGTTCTTTTTTCGCCCTTCCTTTATCATTTCGTTACTCGAAACAAAACAGTTTATTTTTGCGGAGAAAGCATACATTCTATCATTGTCAGCGGATATGTTTAACTGTCTGATGAAAAATTCCTTTGTCTTTTTTTTTTGTCAATTCTTACATAGTTGACAAACTAGTGAAGAGCAAACAAAAAACAGTTCACTTTAGCTAGATAGAAGCCGAAATGAAAGTTTTTTTTTTCTTCAGTTCTTATCGACATTTACAACTCAAAAAGAATCATTCCTTTCCCACTTCTTTGAGCTTTACTTAAACAGACTATCGACAATGGTTGATGACGAAGCGCAAAGAGGACAGCAGAAAAAAAAAAAACAGAGATCTTAAAAACAAAAGAACTGATAAAATAGATTATGCCTTCCCTATGAACTTTCCTAAGTTCAAAGTATAAAAATTCTTTATTTTTGTTCATTCCGTTTCACTGCACAAAAAATTAACAACGATTAACGATCAACAACGTGGACCAAACAAATATTCTGATGATATTTTTAGACCTACAAATCCAATCACCATTGTCTGTTTGTTTTTGTATAATCATATATGTGCATCATTGCTTCGCCGTTAAATATTGCTGTTCGCTGTAATATGATTAACTAACAAAAAAAAATCAAATGTGCATTTGTTAAAAAATAACTTCAGCAGATATACCTAATGTTGCAAACATGCAAATATGTCGAATATTAATGGAAAATAAACAGACTTTTTCAAGTTCTTTCCATGATCTATACAAATTAAATTTCGCTCTAATTCTTAAGTTTTCCCTCAGCCTGAAATATTAAAAAGTCAAAACAAATTTACTAAATATCTGCATAAGTTACTGCCATTTTTACTACGGTTTTAATCAATTCTGTTCCAGGTCATCGATATTCCGCATAAACTTTACGGCGACAACTACGACGACTGTTCCTACATCAACGATGAAGGGCACTTGATAGATCTATAGTTTATTTAGCTGCCTACCTGTTCGTTCTTTACGTTATTTTTCTGTCATTACTGCCGTTGCCGTTTGCCGTTATTACAGCCGAACGGCAGCCGCGGTGATAGTGGCGGATGCGATGGCGGCAGATGCGGTAGCTCCGGGTGAACAACATATTGATACGCATACGCAAACATAAGTTAGGCATTTTATCGTTCATTCAACAGCCAGCAGTAACGGCAGTAACCAGGAAACCTCATACTCATTCATTCATTCATTGATATATTTTATATCAATTTATACAGTTTTCGTGAAAAGACTAAGAACCAGTTCGTTGAAAGGCGACGACAATGATGGGTACGCATTTGTTGTATGTGTTTTTGTGAGTGGATCCCGTTGAGCTAATTTTGTGATTTTTGATCGCTTAAAAACTGCTGATGAAAATAGACCAAAATTTATGGAGCAGAGAATGCGAAGAAAAAATTTTTTTTCTCTTCTTGCGAGATGAAAAAATTATATTTAGTGCATCATTTCTGAGCTTCCTACTTGGTGCAAGTTGATAAATAAATAAATAATGCATACAGATATATATATATATATATATATATATATATA